AATGAAATGAATAATAAAAAGATTTTTTTACGAAAATAAGGGAAATGAGAGAATGATTAAAAACGTGAAAAGAAATATGAAAATATTTTTTGTTCATTAATAATTTTTCTAGGTTAGGAATTGAGGTTCTCATCAATTACTTTAATTGTACTAATTAAATACTTTGATTTGAAGATGCGATTAATTTACTGCGAATTACTAATTTTTATATTAGTTATTGGAGTTTGCTTCGATACATTTTAGCGTTGCTAATTGACGTCAAGATATAATTAATATTATTTTGAAATGCACTAGGTACTGAGGCGATACGCTGTTATCAATGCAGCTCTGATATGGATGCAAAGGGCGAGGACCTTTGTGGGGCCTACGCGAATTTCGACAAAGAGAGGAATGTGCCTATCGAGTGCAACAGCGAGGAATCGCACATGCCCGGTACATTTTGCGTTAAGTACACCGAGCAGAGCCCACGTGGTTTCATCTGTAAGTACATTTATTTACAAAAGTGAGATATTTAGCAATATAATAAAATGAGATAATATAGACAGAAACTGCAACGTATGTGAAGGGCGTTCTTTATGATGTACAGAATTAAATAACAAAATGCCAACCGCAGCTTCTTAGATATGTAATACGATTGCAAGCATAATTTTGACTATCTTCCGTCGAGCAGTATAAATCGAGAAATCGAATATAATACATTTTCACAAAAATTCCAGATTCAGAAAGCCTGGCACAGCTTCCGATTTAATTTTTCACGCTAAAATTATGGGAAATTTAAAAATCTTTGAACTTATTGTGACTGTTAAAGATTATTTTCACGCATTTTCAGCACCCAAATCTGCGAATAATTGCACAATAAATACGTGTTTGATAATATGTTAATTAATTAATTAATTAATCGGCAATGTTTAAGGGGACGGTAGATGGCGACAGGTGATCCGACGATGCGCCTCCGTCGCCAGTACCGGAGTCACAGGGGTTTGTAACTGGGGCGTTCGCGAGAACGGTGTTTACTGGCAGGAATGTTATTGCTCCGAGGACGCATGCAATGCAGCATCCGGTCCGGTATCCTTCACCACCTTGCTTCTCATGGCATGCAGCGCTGTCGTTACGCTATTTTATTTTAAGTGAAAGACAAGTTTTCAGGGTCTCAAGTCTTTAAAAGACGAAGATACAAATAAGAAAAATATTAACGATTAAAAAGAAATCGTTTATGAAGTCATAAGAAGAGAGAAGTTTAAATTATATAATTAAAATGAGCCGGGAAATGATAGCGGAGATATATTCTCGAAGGATTTTAGAATTGGTTTCTTCTTAACAAAATTTTGATTATAGAAGCCATTATTACAATATTTTTCGTTTTTCTCTTCATTAAATTTCTCTTTAAAGACCACTTTCAAATAATTAAAAAAGGAAAAAAATTGTATATATTTTAAAAAATCATGAGTTTTTTACTTTTTAAAATTTTCAATATTTAATACGCAATTTTTGATATAGATAATAATCAAATTTTATCGTTAGATAAAAATCGACTCTGGAATTACCAAAAAACATATTGTTATATTTTCGGTCTCAGTTTGATAAAAGAGAGTCAACTTGTAGATACTTTAAATAATATATCCGTCCATATGCGATATATTAATAGATCTCGCATTCTCGTTCATGTATATAGTTTAAGTGATACATCCGTCCATATTTGGCATTGTTAAGAAATGCCATGAGATGTGATTCATTTATAATGTAATTAAATTAAGATGACTAATTAATTATATTTGACTATAGATGACTAAATGGAAGTTAATTCAGCGAAAATAATAGATCTATTTATTATTGCATTCCGAAAGAAAATTTTATGTAAAATTAGTACAAAAGAGTAATAAGAACAATAATCAGCATAAGATAAACTGTTAATTTTTTTATTTCATCGTTTTAATGCAATAATATATCTATTCTCGCCGAAAATTGAAGTACGCAAAAGTGCTTTTTTATGAAAAAGTAGTGTTCAATTGTTTTTAATCTATTTAGAATAATACGTCGATTAAAATGTTGAATTTAGAGTAACGACGAGTTAAATCGTATGTATTTTACAATGTATTTTACACACATGATCATTATAGAACACTATCTTTGTTAAGTATTACATTATTAAATAGTTCACGATTTTGTTAATTACGATCTTAAAACAGATCATTACAATTTTTTACTGTAGTTTAATTAATTTATTAGAGAAACCCGCATCATAAATTAAGAATCTCATATAATTATTTTATGATACTTAGCACGTTGTTACCTTAAATCCTTCGAATTATATCTATATTTGTCATACAATCTTTGAAATTTTGAAATTTTATATTTTTCTATGTAAAAACGCGTATATTGTGTAACTAAAACAAAATAGATTTATTATATAATTCAATTTTATACTTCTTTATTATTATATATTAATAAAAAATGTACGTAAATGTAACACGTAAACATGCATTTTAATTAAATAAAACTTTTATTACATGAAAATCGAAAATAGAGAGAACGAAAAAGAGAAGGAGGGAGAGAGAAAGAAGCTGAGAATATACGAGCACCAATCACTATCAATACTCGCTCCGAATCAAACATATACATTTAATTAATACAAAATTGATATATTATCTTCTATATTTTTCCCAACCATTATGAATATTTCGCGACTGAATGCGTCGCTTTAAGCTTGACGATTTATTTTGTTTTTTTCCTAATTTTTTTGCAGTTTTTTTGTTTGGATGTGAATCTTTGAGAAGCCATTAGACGTGCTCGCGCACGTCCTACGGTAACATTAACGGAATGGAAAAACGTGGCGAAAATGAAAGCTACTTTTGTCTCTCGACTTGACTGACTTTTTGCGGCGGCTCTGGGGAGAAAACCCACCTCGCAAGCCGGGAGATTAATGTTTTCCGTGGCGCTGCTGATCGCATCTGCGCGAAATTCTCATTTGCTGGCTGTTTACGCCTGCTTAAGTGCAACTTACGTTATTTCAGCCGCGTTTAGCGCCACGACTAGATTACACCATCCTTTCTTATCTGGATTTATGATACTTGCTAATCTCATCCTTATTCTTATATACTTTTATTTTACTCGATTTATATGGCCGCAAAATTAATGACTTTATAAGCATATTTCTCTTTAAAAATCTAGAGATTATTTAAGAATTTATATACAGAAATAAGAAATCGTTTACATAATATATAGGGATAATATGTTTTTAAAAATATTTTTCTATTCTATTATAACAATAAAGCTAAATTAATAAATTTGATAAGTACAAATTGTGAAAAACGTGATGTTTATCAGTTATGGTCTCCCATTAAAGAACAATTGTATTTAATTTCTTAAATGAAAATTTGGTTGTCAGAAATACTTAATATAACAACGAGGTGATAAAATTGTTTTCCGTTGAAAACAGTGGTATTTGCAGTATCTAAATAAAGCTTCCTTACGTGATATTCGAACGAAATACATCGAGGACACCCTATACATTGCGCATCTCATTCATCACACGTCACTGACACGCGTATTAAACGCGCATTGTGCGAAATTCCTAAATGACGGTTCTCCGATCCGGACTTTTGCGGGAACAGATTGCCCGCTGCACGCTTGAACCCTCAGACTGGCTGCTGTCGCGGACTCGCTTCTGGTATCAAGCCCAAATCCGAGGACACCCTCCTGAGCGTACGTCACGCCGTAATGCCGGAAATTCGTCGACCGCGAGTTAATTACGTCACACGAGACTATTAATGCCTTAACAGATCCGACGTGCGCGTTGTACGTACAACAATGGTTTCGGCTATTTAGGCCCTCTCGTACATTACGTCACCACGTGCCAACCCTCGTTACTCGAAACGCCGTGTGATAATTAAGATCGTCGCGACCCGAGCATTATAGCGGCAACAACAACGGTGGCTGATAATACTTTGGAAAGGTCTTATCATATCCCACGATCCTTCCCGCAATATAACATCGAAAGGTTTCCGCAGGTAAACCGGAGAACGATAAATGCCTTTCGTGATGAACTGAAATTATACTAGGTGTCTCGCAACTATACGCAAATATACTTGATTTCTTGATTTATGATAAATGAGATAAAAATTCTTATTGAAAAAAATGTCAAGGTGTCAAGGGAAAAGATCGCTTAAGAATCATTTTGCGAATACAGTTTTAGAAGTGCAAATAGAATTCTTACGATACAGAAATCGTTAAAAAAAATTATTGATTAAAGGGAAGAACAATGATTATAATAAAAAAGATATTTATGAATTAAATTAATTATGAATAAAATATTAAAATTATTATGGTTTTTAAAGGCGCGAGCCATTAAAAATGTAGTTTATCATATCGGCTGACACAATTTCACGGAAATAATCTTACAAAGTTTACAAAATATACCGTCTTCCCTCAAATCTTCATTTATTGATCTCATTAAGGATGCAGAGGATCATGACATTAAGATGGCATTAAGATTTTAGGGAGAAGGGTATATTAGTAATTTTCCCGACCGGACGCTTTATTTTCCACCGTAGAGTAGCTCGACGCCCGCATTCTGGATGTTATTACATCAGCGTGCTTAATTAGCCGCCGCAAGGGCAGAAAGTGCATGATGCTGCTCACCTCTCTAACGGCATTTCCTATTTTCATAATGCGGTCGCCATTTTATAAAAGAAATGAGGATAAGCGTGATTCAAAGAAGAGTTTAATTAAGTTATATGTTATACGACGTACAATTTATTTTACGTTTTAAATGTAGAATAATTTTATTTTATACCAATTAATATAACAGAATATATATTTGTTCACAGAATGATTTAAAGAAATAGTTTAGAAATTTAAATGTTTACAATAGTCTCTAAATATATCTCTATAATAAACAAAAAAGTTAATAATTGCAGAAATTTTTTGTCAAATTAAATTTGATCTTTTTTTTTTTTAAATTATTCTGAAGAGAAATTCTTCTTACTTTTGAGTTATTACTTATTTTCCTTTAAACTGTTATAAAATTTTACTTTATAACCGTTGATATAAGATTTAATGTGCTGAACAAATGAGAATGTAATTAATGGAATTTTGAAAGTTTCTTAAAAGGAAATTAACTTCAGATCAAGATTTTGAAAATGCTCAAATTTAAACATATACAATCTATTTATTTATTTAAATTGACATAACTCGAATTAATCATATTTAAAATTCTATATAATTGTGACATATTATATACATTATATTGTGACATTGAATTAAAATGTTTACTATTGAATTGAAAAGAAAATTTGATTTTGCCTTGTCAAAGAAAAATCGTGACTATAGAAACAAGAGACATGCAGTTTAGCAGATGTAATAAAAAGTTACGTCTTTCTAAAGTTATGTCTAAAATAGTGAGATATATCGATCATTCTGGATCAGTGTTATCCAAGATTGAGACAATACTGATATAACAATCATGAAAATGCTCAAATTTAAACATATACAATCTATTTATTTATTTAAATTGACATAACTATCGAATTAATCATATTTAAAATTCTATATAACTGTGACATATTACATACATTATATTGTGACATTGAATTAAAATGTTTACTATTGAATTGAAATGAAAATTTGATTTTGCCTTGTCAAAGAAAAATCGTGACTATAGAAACAAGAGACATGCAGTTTAGCAGATGTAATAAAAAGTTACGTCTTTCTAAAGTTATGTCTAAAATAGTGAGATATATCGATCATTCTGGATCAGTGTTATCCAAGATTGAGACAATACTGATATAACAATCACTCGTCTTTTTATTGTGTATGATGGAACTCCTTAAAGCTCTTTATTATTATCGAAATACGGTAATGATACGCTTGATGCTTGCCTCATATATTTGTAAAGTGATATTTTCTGCAATAAAGAGTATTAAAATTCAAATCCGAAATCATTTAGGAGATTATGACAGAGCTTTAGTTTGCAGAATAAAATATTATTTCATGTCAATCTTGGACTAATTTAGAAGCTATTTAAAATAATGTTGCGCGATATCTCCAAGCATAAATCTCATCTAAGATGCAATTTATCAGAACGTTTAATAGAATTTTATGACAAAGCTCTTACGAAAATTATGAAAAACATCGTCTTTATATAAAAAGATTATCCATTCTTACACATTAATGTCATTAGAAATCCAAATAAGGCCGTTAAAATTGTGAGAAGACAATATATGAGCGATTTTCCGGGTCGGGCGTTTCATTTTCCACATCAGAGTGGCTCGGTGGCTTCATTTTAATAGTTATTACATTACAGCGTGCTTAATTAGTCACTGGAAGGGCGGAAAATGCATAATCTTGGCTACCTCTTAACTTTCTGCATAACCCATCTGCCATTCTGCTATCTTACAAGAAGAAACGAAAATGAGCAAAATAGAAAAATCTCAAGAGTTTAACTAAATTGTATACAGTTTTTAACTCGTTATCCGATTTACAATTCACGCGTTTTGGATTTTAGAGAGAGAGAAAAAGAAAGAGAGAGGTAGGGAGAAAAAGAGGAACAATTTTATTTCATTATATAATTATAATAGAATACTGATATTAATGTAAGTATTAATATAAGAGAATTTATATAAGTGTATAGAATTATCTAAAAAAAAGATTGGAAATGTTTGTATTACATACAGTATTGCCATGTACAATATGCAAATACACAAAAATATAATATTCACTTAACATAGAATTTTTTAATTTTTTATTGAAATTTACTTTATTGAAATTTACTTTTCTTTATAAATTTGCCTGTATTTGTCTTGAAAAAAAACTTTAATTATGATTATACTACATATTCAGATGTTTCAAAAAACTATAATAATTATGATTACATTACATGTTCAGATATTTCAATCGTTTCATTTGTTTCAGACGTTTCAATTTCCAATGTTTTAATTTTCGCGACTGATTTAATTATTTTATCTAAATGTTCTTGCGGTAGAGATTGTAATTCTTCAATATGTATAATTTCCTGCATATAGAATTTAATAAAACTTGCCGCATGTTTTTCTAAATTTTCTGCATTATTTAAAAACGCAAGTTGCACAAGTTCAATAGCAGTATTGATTGTAATTGTACGTATCAAATATTCTTCACATATTAATTTAAGATTTTGTAAATCGCATTTGTTAGCTACTTCTAACAAAGTTCTACTCGTGTGATAATCAAGTTGTTTCGATATTAAACCGGTTCTGATATACAAAAACATAATCTTAAAAATATCTTTCATATCATTATCATTTATTGTTATTAAATCATTTGCCATGTTTTCTTTATATGTATTACAGAAATAGTCAACACATTTAGTATTGTGTAATAACTTTTTGGATACGTCGTAATATTCTCCGTTTAATACAAACGTGATTGCACCATCGGGAGCGTCATCAAGAATTGAATCTTGTGACTTCGAGTCTGTCGGTGATAGTCTAGATAATAGTCTAGGTAGTGTCTTGATATGTACAGTATCGGCTAAATAGCGGTGAAAAATCTTGAACGTAAAGTTTATCGTAAGCGTGTCTTTATCCAGATTATTACATAACGTTTTTACTGTAGTTTCATATAATAATGTCATGTTTGATATAAAGCCCCAAGTCGAATTAACAAGTATCTTGTCATGCATATTAATTATAAATACATCACATATACCATTAAATGATACTTCGGTAACTATATAAAATTTTACTAAACTTGTCCACCATTTGGGTACGATAGATATTTCCATTTGAATTATATATTGAGCTGTTTCTGGGAATGGCATGGACAATATTGGTTTTAAAAGTTTTAAAAGTTTTGAGCAGCGATTGAGTTTCCAGACATAGTCAATTGTATTCGCCTCGTATTGAAGTTGACAATAACTCCTATGATACGAAGATGATAGAGTTTCTGCCTGCTCCTTTTCTGAACAGCTTTCAGTATCATTGTCGGAAGAATTCTGGATATGATCAATTTATGTACTTGTTTTATAAATAATTCTAACGTATTTTCTTTGAACAAAATAATGTTACACGACTGCTAAAATAAAGTAACAATAAATCATTTATGATTAATTATTCAGCCGCCTCATGCTTGCGAAAAAAAGAAAAAGAAAATTGTGGACAGCATATCATGAATTCTCTTTGTTAAATAGTAGAATGCATTAAATTTTATTCATAGATTTCAATTTATATCACAAATATTTCAATTTGTTTTCAATTCTGCGCGCTTTCTAATGCACTTTCGATTTTAATGCAGTGCGCTCAAGAAAATAAAAAAATATCATAAAAGGAAATATTAAACTTACTTGTTCTTCCTTAATTTCTCGTTCGTTCTGCATTATACCGATCTGGAACGCAAGCTTCAAGATTTTTTTTACAATGCTTCAATAATATTCGAACACTGCCGAATGATAATATTTGGAATAATCCGTATATGAAAAAGATCATTAATGTCCTTTGTTTTCTATTACCAAGCGATCTAAGCCGAGCAATAACGAGACATTTCTAAAATAATTCATATATAAATATTAATGTAGTCATTGATATCTTTCTCTTTATCAGATTGCATTTAGAAATATGTTTATGTTTAAAACTATTACCTTTTCATTTATCTGCAAGTTAATAGAGCCTCAATCTTTTATACATGTAATGTTTGATATTCTCTTCGAAAAAAAAAAATTCTGACTCTCATACAGCTTTTCATACAATACTGCTCTGTATATTTTGTTTAGGGTTAACTAGTTGATCCAAGAGCACACCTTATCGACAACAGTGTTATTATTTTCTTTTGGAATAGATTTACTTTTTTTGGATTACATCCCTATCACCTTTCACGCATCGTCTTATTCTCTATTTTTGAATTGTTCGCTGTTTCTTTTCAAAGTACCAATATAAAATTTTATTTTATATTAAATGTTAAATATTAAACTTATATGTATCATTTCTGTCACTGCGTGATTAACATGTTTAATATATCTTCTTCAAGAAAAATAAATTATTGTTTAAAACCGCAAAAATGAACCGAGTTAGAGGATAGATCTACAAAAGTAGCATATTTTACGTGATGTAACAATTGAAAATTTTGAGTGCTTTCTAACGTTTTAATACGTTTAAAGAGAGAAGAAAAAAATGTTTAACTTACTTTTTGTTCTTCCATTGTGCTTGCTTCGTGTCTTTCGTTATTATATCTCGGATAATTGAACTAATATTTGAAAGCTTATTTTATTAGCTTTCGATTAATAGCTTTCGATAATATTCGAGAAATGATGATGTTGCAATGCTGCATATACAGATATAATATATATGTATTTGGAAATGATTGCCAATTTCTTTTATTTCTTTTTATGTATATGAACTGCGGATAATTTATACAAATATGAATGTCCGATGTTTCTTTTTATCAGATTGCATTTAGAAATCTCACTTCTTTGTCTGTCCCGAGAATTGAAGCCTCTTATTTGTCTGGATTTTTTATATATATTGTATCCGACATGCTCTTCTAAAACGGAAATATCTATAACTTTTTGCACAGTATAATATGAATATTCTATTTAGAACCGACTTGCTAACCCAGAATTTGATCCAGATAACAATGTTATTGTTTGACAATAGATTTACTCTGTTGAATCATACTTTTCACCTTCTATCTTACAATTAATCCCTACTTTCAAACTGTTTACGTTTTATATGTTCGAATATTAGCAGAAAATTCCATTTTATATTAACAACTAAAAGTATAAAAAAATAACATAGCCGAAAAGACGAGACTTCTATTTTTATCAGATTTGGCTATTGAGATGACAGTTATTAAATTTTGCTTAAATGTTTATAATTGGTTTTGCAATTGCTGCGAGATATTTCTTTTCATCTACAGATAATCGGAGAATTCGATACTTATATGCTTATTCCTAATAAATAAAAATTAAATTAAATGCTTTAAAATAATAAATTAAATTATATTTAACAAAAAGTTTTATAGTACATATGAAAAAAATATAAGTTTTATACATATTTAAAATTTAACCTATCACTTTCATACATGTAAATTTTTGCGTATTAAAATTGAACTTGTAATGTTTTTGTTATGACATCATTGCTAAATAAATAGAAAATTTATAACATAAGCTTATAAAATAAATATATACATTTACAACACATATACAATGCAAAATCTTATTAATCGTTTATAATATGAATAAATATATAAAAAATGAATTTTTGTTATATGGTTATTTGTATCTAATGTGCGCTGTTGATTGTGATATGAGCTTAAATACTGTATTAACGGATTTAAATAATTATACAAAATGGACACAATCTTTAGAATCAATTTTCTCAGTCGCTTCAAGTATCTTGTCTATTTGTTCTTGTGGTAAAGATAGAAATGTTTCAAAACGTAAAAATTTTTCTATATAAAATTTAATAAAACTTGCTACGCATTTTTCCAAGCATTTTGCATCATTTAACAACGCAAGTTGTATAAGTTCCAAAGCATTTTCAAATGTAATATTCTGTAGCAGAATTTCTTCACATATAGTTTTAAGATTTTGTACATCATATTTGTTGGCTACTATTAATAAATCTTTGACCATACCACTCTTACGTATCCATTGTTCCAAGCATAAATCTAATGGCCTTGCTGAATTAATTATGATAAATGACAACATTTCTTGAAAAGCTTTTGGTCTATCCTTTATTATTAATTCATTTGTTATGTCTTCTTCTGTATTACATAAGTGTTTAAAATAACTACTGTTGATAGCGCATAATCGATTTTTGGATACACTGTAGTGTTGACCATCTATAATAAATTCAAGCGATTCTTTATTATCAAACTTCGAATCGTTGTCAAGAATTGATTTTTCAGATTTCAAGTCTTTTGCTGCGGATGATGGTAATGGATTTACATGTATAGTTGTATTTGAAAAAGAATAAAATATGTCGAATCTAAAATTCAGTTCAAATGCATCGCTATCTGAGTTCTTAATAAGTAGCCCCAGTTCCTTTTCATATAATAACATCCTCTTCGATATATACACTACGTCCGTCGATACAAGTAACTCTCTTTCCTTTAGATCAATAAAGAAAATCTCATAAGAACCTGCAAATTCTTCTTCAGTTGTCATATAAATTCTTAATAGTTCTTTTTCTGATGGAGAGTTAAATGAGGCAATTTCTATTTGAACCTGATATTGTTCATTTTCTGGAAACCGTGTAGAAGCAAATATTTTCATAAATTTATAAATTTTGAAGAAGTGAAGAATTTCCCAATTATACTCGATCGTACTCAATCTATACTGTATTCGGCAATAACTCTTCTTATATAAAGGTATAGGTAATACAGATGCCTCCTTTTTTTCTGATAAGACTTTAGGGGAAATGTTCTTTGATTCTTTTATAGAAGAATTCTGTAAATGACAAATTTAATTATTTAGTATTTAGTATTTCAATTTTTATTTAATTCTATTTAGCTTTATAGTTATTATAAATTAATATATTATTTATATTATTTTTCTCTATCTCGCGAAACTGATCAATATATTTATTTTTTTTAAATACTATAATATATTGCATAACATGTACACAAAAGAAAAACACCAAGAAGTAAATATTAAAGTAAATTAAAAATAATAAAAAATATATGCGTTTTCTAATGTTTTAAAACAAAAAGGTATGCATTTTTAAAACAAAAGCACGTATTAAAAAAGATAATGTTTAACTTACTTGTTCTTCCATTGTAATTGTCCGTTTTCCGTTAATGTAGTGATCAGGACAAAATAAATCTATACGAACAAAAATGTCAAAGATTTTTTTGATATCAAACGATATTTGAAACACTAACCGATAAATGATGTTTGTGTGTTGTATATTTTATAATAGGACAATTTTTACATATAAGATATATCCTTATTAATATTTATGATTTAAATTTAACTAATTGCATTTATCTTTACCAAATTATTCGAAGTTTTCACAAAGTTATGTTGACAATTGTTCGTCAGCACAGTTAGCATCAGTTGATCACTCAACGGATCAGCGGAAACGTACGAAAGCACAAGTTATGTTTATATGTATGACATTCAATATTATCAGCCACAAAAAAAAATATTGTGTAACGAACGTTTGTCGTAAATCCATGTGACATTGATCTTCTACATGGATGATTACTGTTATCACTTGTTGTGTCTAACAATAAAAAAAATTAAATTAGTAACTTTGATGATCTCAAGTCTATTGCTCTCATCCATATCTGTAAATCGCCTGCAAAATTTTCATATTTTCCCTTTTTTATCTGCAATGCCTCCAAACATATGTATCTGCGAGTGTGAAAAATATGACACATATACTTATTATATGTATTTGTAGGAGAAAAAAAATGTTGTCGCTTGTGCAACGTGATTTATCATTTGCATTAAGTATATTATCGGCTTAATGTTATTTTTATTCTGCTTTTGTATTGCGTTTTCTTATAATTGTTTGCCTTTTCTCTACATGAGCATTTCAACTTGAAATATACTGAATATATAGTATAGCACAGCTGGAAATTTGTCGTTCAGCGGCGATTCGCCGCGCATGATCTTTTCTCTCTCCTCGCATCTTATTCTAACCTACGAAATCTACTTTCGACTTTCGTCATCGTTTCGCGAAATCGCGAATCCCGGAGAGGTTAAGTTGTCGATTTTTCGACAGGAGTTACGCGGGCGGGAAACAGTATTCGACGCGTTACCAATTAAAGGCAACTTGCGAGTGTAGGTCTGTACATTATTAATACATAAGCTATCCAAAATCTTTTAACTTCCTCCTAGAAGAGGCAAAAACAAGAACGTTTTGAATGACTACAGTTTTACCGTTTCTTTCTTCAAGTTATACGGATTTTGTTTAATTTTTGTCAATAACTATATAAAGCTAATTATGCTGTCATTGCATCCAATTTTTCAATTATTACTCGACGGTTCCATAACTGTTGTATTTATTGGGCATTGATTACTTTCCGCATGTATTGGATATATTGAATGTTTTAACGCAATGTTTTTTGTCGAACTTTGCAGACGGGATATCCCGGTGAACGATGAACATGGCTGCAAGCGCAGGCCTCACCCGGCAGGATATGATGATGCTCGTAGCGAGATTGACATGTGTCGCAGCGATCGGCTTCTTCAGCGTGAGGTGGCTCATCAGTCAGCTCGATCCTACCAGGAGTACTAAGCAAAGGGCCAAAAAGAAGGTCCGTGATCGTCTTTATCGTCTTTATCGTCCTCTCGAAGAAATTTCAAATTGTATTCAATCTGCAAACAAAATTTTAATTTTGACCAATTGCTTGCAATATATATGTAACTGATTATTACAGGCTCGGGAGCAGTTACGTAAGCTAGCAGAGAGCGACAGATATGCGCGATCTTTTGATATGGATCAGTTGACAGATTACGAGATGATAATAGCCAATCATTTGGTGGATCCAAATGATATCAAAATATCGTGGAACAACATTGCTGGTCTTGACAGCGTTATTCAAGAGCTCAATGAGACAGTCATACTACCTATACAGAGGAAGGAATTGTTTGAAGACTCACAGCTGACTCAAGCGCCCAAGGTACTAATTGTGCTTACCTTCCAAGAAAAATTGATAGTTTAGATGTGCATCGTGCTTGTCACTTCCAGGGAGTATTGTTGTATGGTCCGCCAGGTTGCGGCAAAACCATGATTGCCAAAGCTACCGCCCGGGAGGTGAAAACACGCTTTATAAATCTTGATGTGAGCATCCTGACTGATAAATGGTACGGAGAAAGTCAGAAGCTGGCCGCCGCCGTGTTTTCGTTGGCTGTGAAATTACAACCTTGCATTATCTTCATTGATGAAATAGGTACATTGCAAGAAAAAATAGTAGCTGATAAAATCAGACGTGTTGCATCTTTTATATCTCAGAAGTCTTGAATTTTGTTATAGAAAACTTTGTTTTCTTCTTTGCTTGAAGTGAATCTTTATTTGTAATTCACTAATATAATTTGTCACATTGCAAATATTGTTAATATGTATATTTAATATAAAAAGCGCTTTGTAATAGATAAAACATATTTTGTTTTAATATATATTTAATTTTAACAGATTCATTTTTGAGAGCACGCAATTCACAAGATCATGAAGCTACCGCGATGATGAAAGCCCAATTTATGTCACTATGGGATGGCTTGATAACCGATCCCGATTGCACTGTGATTATAATGGGAGCCACTAATAGACCACAGGATTTAGATAAGGCTATTTTGCGGCGTATGCCAGCCACTTTCCATGTTGGTTTGCCGGTAAAGATATTTATATAATATTAAATTTTTGTATATTTTTAGTAGTAAGATACTAGTCACTATAAAAAATATCTATCTATGTCTATATACTTATGTATTATATTGATTATGGAACACAGCTCGCACTTATCTGTTTTAGAGTGAGGAACAACGATTAAAAATCCTGCAATTGATTCTAAAAAACGAGCCAATTGCGGATAATGTTGAAATTACAACATTAGCGAAACACACAGAAGGCTTTTCCGGATCAGATTTGCAAGAACTTTGTCGTAACGCATCCATCTATCGTATTAGAGATTACTTAAATTCGCAGTATGTATCTCAAAATTGTTTGTAGAAAGAAAATTGAATTTGCCAATGAAACCAATGAATAGTCTAGAATTGCGAAATCTAAAAATCGAAGATACATTGCATCAATTTATGTTGTTTAATTTATAGGGATGTAAATAAATACAAGGACAGTGAAGACGAGGAATATGATGAAGAGTTTCATGACACTGTGCGGCCTATCACGATGGAAGACTTGCTCAAGTCATTCAGGAAGATGAGAACGTCGAAACTGCATACGGGTACGCTCAGCGCGCGGCAGCTGGAATTAGATTGAAGTAAGAAATTCACTTTTTGTTAGTTCGTCTATGACTGTTTCCTCAAGTCATTCATGTGTTGCATAGACATTACGACAACGATGAAAGTGAAATCTTCTTTCATCACAAAACTGTACTCTTCAATACTATCAGAAGGGTGGTTTTCATGTCACAAACATTGAAAAATTTTTATGGAGGCGATTTATTAGGAGATTAAAATAGTGCTAATAGAATCTTCATAAAGTGTTTATAATTCCACAATAAAAAAGACATTACAGAGAAAGAAATTTTATAATGAGATGAAATGAAATTTCTCTCAATATCAGAGTGATATAAGCATGTATGGTGACAGTATATGACAAAAGTATTTCATTCAATTCACTTATTTCAAAATTTTAACTTATTTTATTGAATCCTTTTTGTGTTAAAAAATTCCTTTGTTGTGATACAGATATGTTAGATATGCTTTAATATGTTCAAAAATTACAATACCTAATAATTCAATAATTTTTTAATTAAATAATAATTCTAAAATACAAATCGTAAATATAATTTCTTTTTTTATCATATAATAAAAAAAATGTTAATATAAATATGATTAAATATATGCACAGCTTTCAGTAAACATACATGTCCAAAATCAATTGCATATGTGATGAAATGTATAAGTTGTATAAAAGTATTAAGTTGTATAAAAATAGCGAGAGACGTCATAAATTTCTGTCGTTAATTGTTAAGAGCAGTACAATTGTGTATCTTTTTATTGATTATACCTAAATTTGAGTCTTGTGAAACTGCGTAATGAACTGTGTATCTTCCTTCTGTAATATATTTTTGCATATATAATGCGCTTTTTTTACATTTTATTATATATGTATACATTACATATTATTATACAATCTTCTAAATAGCACACACGCAATATGCATTTCTATGCACTTTATTACGTAAGAAATTAACTTATTTTTAAGTCACGCTGTTCTTTAAAAACTGGAATTGTAAAATATTATGTAAAAAAAATATCATTTTTTCTGAAAAAGTATCGATATTAAATTTAAATTATATATTATTTATGTTTAATATTTAATTACCTCAACTTTACAAAGAAAAAATACGATACATATATATTAATGTATTATACGTGTTACTAAGATATAAATATCTTCTCAGTCTTAGCTCAATAGCATTGTTAGTACCGTACTTCAATGTAGAATGCAAATTTTCTGTTTTAGAAAGATTTTATAAAGAAATACTAAAAAGAAAGACTACAAAATAAGCAATTAGGTATTATAAAGCAAATAAAAACATTTCCTTTTAATAATTTTCTTATTTAATTTCTACATTGTTTCTACAACATAAATTTGAAGTAGAAACATTTACAGTGAAATATTTTAGTGAAAATCTTTCGAAACTACCATAAATTAAATAAGAGAAAAGAATATATTACATTAAGAAATAATTAAATTTTATTTAAAAAGCCATATGAAATTAAATTTTAATATTTTTCTTCCGAAATTCTGTTCTTTGTCGCAGTGTCCTAGATCCTTTCGACCCTAACATGTCACTTTTCCTTCAGGACCCTTCCTTGGGTAATGAAATTTTTTTGAAGTCAGGTCATAGGAGAATACGAGGAAGGATGGAAGAGAGCATCTAAAACCTGTTTTTTCACGAAGAATTGCGTGATGATCTCTGTAATATACTGGGGCGAGAGAAAAAAATTATATATAGAAAAAAAAAGGAGTAGTGGTCCAGTAAAAAAATGTCCACCTACGATCGGATCACGAGAGAAGAACGAGATTTCCATTTGCTTAATTGCACGTATTGTGAAAAGATTTGAGAGAACACGAGCGCGGCTCGAGGAAAAATGACGGGAAGCACAATATGATTTATTGTACTTTGAAAAAAAAATAAACTTCATAGATTCAGGTAAAAAAAGAAAAAGATAAAAGGACGATATTGTATCCTGAAAAGAAGGCAATTATCCGGATATCATTTAGAGAGAGACCATTCGCAGTGGAAATTTTGTTTAAAGATAAATGCGAATGTATATGTATACTTTATATACATACTATGTTAATATCTATGTCGGTATCTTATTTAGAAAACACAGAAGAGATTGTAGCCTGATAAATTGAGATAGATGCAGAGAGCATTATGATTTCCAATTATCTCTTCAAATATATAGAATCGTATCACGATCTGCTTCTTTATAAATCGCAAAGGATATTTCGCTTTCTAATTATTCTGACATTAAATATCTCTAATGAAATATGGAAAATCTCTTTCTACCGAGAGATTATTTATTTATTTCGCGCGCGCGTTTGCATTTTTGGGGTATCGAAGTGTCAAAATTCAACGAAATTATTTCAGTATTAATCCTTGCATCCTTGTTCGCGCGAGAAAGCACAGAATGTGTGGATAAAGAGAATGGACCCGCGCTGCAAATACGCGCTCGCGCAGCAGCAGCAGGGGAACTAAGAAGAACCGAGGACGCACGAGCGACGCCGTTCGGCTCAGACTTCTCTCTTGTGCGTCTCCACCTCCCGATCCCGATCCCGCGAACCAAAGACCGCGGTTCTCTCGCGATTGGAGCACGCGCGTTAGACAAGAAACGCGTCGCGGCGGCGGCGACTCGAGCGAGCGTGCGTGCCTGCCTGCTTGCCTGCCTGCCTGCCTGCGTGCGTGCGTGCGTGCGTCCCGAAACGGAACGGAGGAACGTACCGTGGTCGGCCGCGGGGGCCGAGAGGCGAGAAAGCGGAAAAAGACACATATACACACGCACACACTGTCATGGCGTTAACGTTAACGACGCGTGTCGAGCGTACTATGTGCCGTCGTTGTCGCGAAGCGAGGTGCCGGTAATATACATAGCCGTTCTCCGCCGCGAAACAGTCGCCGGATAACACACGGCAGAACGACGGCGACGATCGTCGCCCATCCGTCCGTACGGAGAGAAAGAAAGAAAAAGAGAAAGAGAGTGTATGTGTACATGCGCGAGTGTATGTGTATGCGTGTAACCAGCACGAGCATTGTCAGTCGCTCTGCTCCGAATCGTCGCGGTCGATCTTATACCCTCGGCATCCACCTTTCATCCGCGACGAGGGTTCGTGCGAGACGGTGCACGAGATCGGGGACGTCACATGCTATGCGGCATCCTTCGTTGTTCGCCGTCCGGTCGTCGTCGATCGCGAGAAACGAACGCGGCATCGCCGCCGCCGCCGTTTTGTCGCTCGCGAGCGCGCGCAAGAGAGAGCGAGAGGGCCGCTCCTCTCTCTGTCTATCTCTCTCGCTCTTATGTAGAGAGTGCGAGCACGCTTAACCTAAAACTCTCTTCTCTCGGTTCGTCTCGTTATCGTCCCGTGTCCCGTGTCCCGTCTCCCTCGTCACCGCGGGATCCCGTTGTCCGGTACGCGTTCCCTCGATAAGCGGCACATCGGACGTGCCGAGGAGACGACGCGTCCGAATCGATCGAGGTACGATCTTCGACGGCGTTCAATCGCGAACGCGACAGACCGAGACGGAGCCGCGAGTCGCGCGAGACTCGCTTCTTCGACGTCGCGCCTACCAGGTGATGCTGATTGTGAACTGCCATCCTCCTCGCGACTCGAGTGTTCGTGAACGCGCGTGATAATAACTGGTGCTCTTAGCGGACACCCGAATGTGCATTCGGTGCTACCGTGTCATCATTTTTCCCTGCGCTCTCGTTGAAGAGTCCCTCTTAGTCCCCCAGGTAAAATAAAACTCTCTTCCTCTTTCTGCCATTAGACTCTATCTTCCTCGTTGTCATTACCTGGCCAACTGATGACGACTGTGATCTCTGTGATTTTCACAACAGGAATGTTTGTTTGTTGAACGGATAAGAAGTTTTGCGGTGGACAATGCAGCAATTTAGAGACCAATGCCCTTGATAGTAGTTGTGCAGTTACGGAACTTGTGGTAAATAGTGTATAGCGTGTGCACTTTTTGGTGTTTTGTGTTGCCTACTGCCACAGCTGTGAGAACAGTTTCTCCTCAAAGACCGCACTGCTGATGTCTACAGAATTTTACTGTTGTGTACTCTGCCAATCGCATCAGATTGGTAATGGTGATGACATTTCATCATGAAATGACTTGTGTTTTGTCAAGAGCCACTACCGAGCTTCACGATGGAGACATAGGACACACTCGATGAAAAAAAAAATGCCTATGTAGAAGAACACATGTTCTGGGAATTGATGGGTATATGCTTTTCCTGCAGGAGACCAACCAGTGGCAGGTTGAACAGTAAAATTTCTGAACACATCTCGGCATCAGTAACACCTCTCCATGTTTGTCTGGAAGAACAAAGAGGACCAGAACTGGGTTCATGTGACGCCTCACAAGCTCACAGGCCTCAGGTGAGCTTAATTTATTTTATATATATATATATAAACATATTATATTACAATAAATTGTAATCAAATTTATATAACTATATGAAATTGTTTTATTTGTTACTTTGACAATAGGTTAAAAGGACCTTTAAGAATCAAAAAACAGAAGAAGAAATTCCCGAAGAGGTGGCAGAGGGTAGTTCGATCGAGATTGAGGCAGCAGAGTTAAGACACAGTATGGCCAATACTATCAGCAACATAAAGATGACCAACCCCATAAAGGGGCTTGTCAGCAAACATCGTAAACGTTTCATAGAGGATGGTTTTAATCTTGATCTCACATGTATCCTTTTACTGCTCGATTATCTCGGATATATATTCAAACAAGAAATAATTCAACATAGAACACTAAGCATTTCTATTCTAAATAAGCTAAATATTGAAAAAATAAACAAATATAGTTGATAAATCAATTGATGCTGAATAGATTCCTTAATAAACATTTTGATTTAGATATAAAAGATAATTTAATAGCAATGGGTTTCCCAGCTGAGAAGCTGGAGGGGGTGTACAGAAATCATATTGATGATGTTGTTAAACTACTGGAATCCAAACATAAAGACCACTACAAGATTTATAATTTGTAAGTTTTTTGTTTGGAAAATTATCAATGTCATTAAGACATCTCTTTTGCAACAAAAGAGTCTTAGCATAACATAATAATGTTTTAGGTGTTCCGAAAGATCATACGATTGCAATAAGTTCAAGCAAAGGGTAGCCATTTACGCATTTGATGATCATAATCCACCAAAGCTGGAACAGATCAAGCCTTTTTGCGAGGACGTGCATTCGTGGTTATCTAAACACAAAGACAACGTGGCTGTAGTTCATTGTAAGGCGGGCAAAGGTCGAACAGGCGTAATGGTGTCCTGCTACCTACTCCACAGCAAACAATTTCTGAATGCCGCCGATGCCCTTAATTTTTATGGAAATATACGCACTCACGACAAGTAAATATGACATTAAGTATTTGAGCATTTGGCGCGTGTCTCCACGGGCGAATTCATTCATTTATTCGATTTTATTGTAATGCAGGAAAGGCGTAACTATACCGTCGCAGATAAGATACGTGGATTATTATGCCACCATTGTTAGAGAGGGTCTCAATTATCAACCAGTGACATTAATATTGCGCAAAATACAGCTGGATCCGGTCCCTATTTTCAATGGCGGTCAAGCATGTAAATAATTTGCATAAAAGTTTTGCAATAGATTTTTGTTGACAATCGATATCTCTTATTTTGATTATTAATTTTTATTTATGCAGAGTAAAACAAGTTTAACTTTCTCTCTCTTTAACTACATAATATTTTTCTTTGCATCTCGATTAGTACATTACTATAACAGATTTAATGTGATTGTTCTTATATTTTGGAAAATGCGTTTTATGTTATTAGGTCTGCGTTATATAATCTCGGAATCAAACAAAAGAATATTTTCGGGTGTTTACGAGGTTCGGAAAGGTACGCCTTCTATATGTATCTCGTTACAACACAGTATAGCTTTGACGGGTGATATAAGAGTGGAATTCTTCAACAGACCAAAAATGAAACCGAAGGTACATATACTTATGCTTTATCATTCTTTTTTAATACGGTAGATTAATAAGGCATTTTTTTTCATTACGTTTTCCAGGAAAAAATGTTTCATTTCTGGTTCAACACATTTTTTGTCCGTGAAAAAGTAAATTCCGAGTATGACAATGGCGAGTTACTTGTTGAAAGAGCGACGAGGGCATTGAGCTGCGATGGTACAGCTATGGAATGTCCGATGGTTATGTCGCACGTGAAATCCAGAACGGGCTCGTTGGCGAGCCTCGGCTCTATGCCGCCTACTCTCGTTTTACGGATAGGCAAGACTGAGTTAGACAAAGCACACAAGGATACAAATCACAAATTATACAGTGAAGATTTTAAAGTGAGTTGCATTCGCGTGATGATAATATATGTATGTCGGTTGTTTTATAATAGTCTTAGCCTCAAATATTCAACATTTTTAACATCTTGTCAATTATAATTATTAGAATTAAAATACCGAAACGTATTACAGTCTACTTCAATGCTTCGAGTTAGATAAAATTTTAATAATTGCACGCGTAATTTTACAGCCCGGACGCAAGGTAGAATGCAAATTATTTTCTGATTATTCTTTTTTAATCGCAGGTAAGTCTATTTATGCATTGCGTGGGTGGGAGTACATCACCGGCTGTGCCAGCGACGACGAACAGAAGCGGTGACGGCATGCAGCTAGGGATGGGCGGACAGGAGACGCCGAGCGAGTCGAGCGAGGCGGATAGCAGTGAGTGCGACACCACCGGTGACGAGGACGGTTGGGAATCCGGTGAGTCCTCTGCATCCCTGGTGGTAAACCACCACCAACACCATCATTCTATTACACACAGCGGTAGCCGTACACATGTTAGCGGTCTCCGTCCGTGTGTTAGTTTCAAGGAGACCGCCAAAGGTCTGCTATCACGTGGTGATAAAAGTAGGAGCAGTAACAGGCAGAACGTCGCCGGGGCGAGCGCGAAGCGTTCTTCCGCTCCGTTCGCACGCTCGGCCGTTCTCGACACGTAGTAGTTTCATAAACGTTCTCGGTACTTAAGAACACGGTCTCCGATGTTTCATGTTCCCGCGATGTTGCGACGCGGGCATTTCGTATTTTCGCGAAGTCGTGACGTGCGGGTTTCTCATTCTTCTTTTCTCTTCGCAAAATTGCGTTACGTGCGTTAGATGGCTTGGCGCACATAAAGTGATGATTAGAATCGGAGAGAAGTTTTCGCAGTAATTACCGCTCGTTACGCCGCTCTT